CATTCAGTAGTAGTAGAATTTGCTATTAAAAAACTTTTTTTTTTTTTGAAAGGATGCATTTGTTTAGGGCTTAAAGTTTTTAATATGCATATTGTAGTTCTGTTTTGAACTCCCACTCTGTGGGAGTGTCCAAATTCTGTTTTTCCTTGCCATTTCACAGTAGTTAGTAGCTTCCTTCTTTTCAGTTCTGAAAAGAGAAAATTTCATTTTTTTTCTGATTAATAATGGACAAAAGAAATGCCCAGATTTAAAATGAAACCAGTGCCAGTGTTTTTTGTTATTACTTACCAGAGTTAACCAAGCTTTTCACCAAAAAGTGGTATTTCCTTTGGTATAGGGAACAGGAAGGGGAAATAGCTGGTATATTTCCATAACTAAATATCTTCAAGGAACTAGACTAAATCAGAACCCACACAGTAGCTGTCTGCCCATTGTCTTTCCTCTTTCTAGTACACAGGTCAGACCCAACTGCAGTTTCTGTTCTCCTTTGAAGACAGGTACTCATTCTGTAACACCAGTTATTAAAAAAAAAATAATAAAAAAAAGAGAATATTGTAGGTTAGGAGGGAGCATTCATTTGTAAAAATGTACTTTTGTCTTTGCCAGTTTTCAATCTCTAGAAACATACTGCTGCAGCTATGCGGTCCTGTCTAAGCTTTGGAAGAGTGTTCTCATACAGATTTTTTTTTTTTGAATAATTTATGAAAGCAACTTCATTACCATCTATTTCAGGTAATTTCCTGTTTGTGCAATCTCTAGAAAACATTCCAGATTCTGAAGTTTCTTTCTTGACCTGTGTAACTACGTTAATGGCAAGCAAACTCCCTCTTATTTAAAGGAGTAAGACTCTACCAGTGTTATTCAGTAGGCTTATATTTGGCTTAAGAGCTAAACGAGAATGTAGCAGCACTTTGACTACCATATTCTAGGCCTTGTCCTAATGTTGATTCCATATGAGCAAAGAAGGAAATGGGTAACCTCATTGTGTTTCGTTACAGAAAATAGAGAAATTGATTCACTTATGTCCTGCGATGTTCTTTCAGGTGGAAATAATGTTTTGCATTTACAGTGTTTTTCAGGTGCAGGCATGATTTATAGTATCTCTTACTGTCTTTCAGGAATCTCGTGCAAACCGTTTGGCAGAAGAACTGGGTGCTGCCAAAGTTCGTGAAGCTCAACTAGAAGTACAGATGCAATCTGAGATAAACAGGCTTTCTGCAGAAATATGTTCATTAAGAGATGCTTGCCAGAGAGAGGTAAGTACTAGAACTGAAATTGCTCCTGCTATTTTAATTATATTGTCTTTGTTATTCCTTGTCTCGGAATAAGACATCTGAGAAGTCTTCTGTCACTAAAGGTGATCTGCATTCTAGAGCATGGGGGCTTGGCTGTGTCCCACCTGGATGTGAAGGTTCTTTCACCGCAGATTGAAGCAGTGTCAGCTCTCCCACCTTGACTTCTGTTAAAGGAGATGATTTAGAACAGTCAAGGACTGGACAAGAAAGGGTCTCCTACCTAGTGCCTGAACTGAACGCTTCCTTCCCAGACAAAAAAAGTAGTCTGTTAAAAGAATACACACACACCTTCTTTTAAAGCAGTAGCTGATAGGCTTAGTCAAAACTGCTTTCAATCAACCACTTTTATTTGAACAGGGAGAAGGTAGAAGCCTCAAAGACCATTTATGACTTCTGGGTTTTTATGCATCAACTAGATTACAAAGGTATCAGATCCTTGAGAAAGTATCTAGTTGTGTATTGAGTTACCTTCTAAAAATGTAAGATCCACATTTATTCAAAAATAAATTCACATATGCAGGGATTGTCCTCATGTCATGAAATGGCTAAATCCTAAAAGAATGAATCCAGTGTATTACTGGACTCTTCAGACTCTCACAGTGAGAATGATATAAATGCAATTAAGGATAATTTCTTGTGATAATGTTGTATCTTTCTCAAAGAAGTACACCTGGACAAAATTCTACACCAGATTAAAGTTGCAAAAATAAAAGTAAAAAGAAAAATGTCAATCCAAAGATGTAAGATAAATAGTCTATGTAGCTCATAATGAGATTCTCTCTACTGTTTACCATTTATGCTGGGATTTTTTTTTTATTTTTTTATTTTTAGAAACATTCTGTATAAAAATTGAATGCATTACAGAGGTTCTAGCTCCATTCAGAATATTATGTGGTTGCATCTGTGTTTGAAAATGGTGTCTGTCATACCATCCTGTAAGAGAAAACTTTCTACTTCAGCGATGTTTATGGCAGACTTACTGACCAATCTTCTACCTTTGTGCAAGATCTAAAATGTCAGTTAGTAATGTATCTGGGGAAAGCAGCGGGGGTGGGTGTTAAGAGGGATGGTTGTAGCCTCTCTCATTCTTTTTTCCTTAATACACAACTTTTCCTGCCTGTTACAGTGCAGGTTATAAATTGTTCTCTGATTGTTTCCTTGCTGGATTGATTTCTCTCCTGGTCCACTCTTGCCCTTTTGAGATTCATAAAATAACGAGGGCACACATTTTTCAGTTGATTCATTTTGTTCTTACTTTGCTCTAATCTGCGTTGAAGATCTTGTTACAACAGCACTCTCTGGGAAGTTGAACTAACTTTCTTTTATTAAAAAGAAAAAAGATTTGACTTAATTTACAATGGTAGATGACTTATGACAAATTAACTTCTGTGGCCAAATTTCTTACTGAAGTGAGAAATAAAATTTTGTTAATAATGATCGTTGAAGTAAGAAAAAATTAAGTACTTTTTTTCTTCCTTACATGTAAAAGTCTTTAACTTTTGCAATGTTCTTTGTCATATTTCTTAAACTTGAGAAGCGTGCTCATCCGAAAGACCAAGCAAAAAGGCAGATAACAACACAACACCAAAAATTTGGTTCTTATCATGTAAGTGGACAGTTGCAACAGATGAAGCGAGATTTAGAAGAGGCTCAAGATACTGTTACTAATCTGCAACAACAACTTCAGGTTAGAGATGAAATGTTTCATGCTGCAAATGAAGCATTGCTTGAGGTAAGTTGACTTAACTAGCCATTATACGTAAAGTAGCTAAGGCAATTTTTGCACACAAAAACAAATACAGGATCTTTAACCAACAAAGTGAATTACCGAGTTCTGGTTTTGCATTACTTGCGTTTACTTCATTTGTAATAATTGTTGAGAAACTAGAAATAACTAAAATGCATGTAAATTTGGGCCTGTAAGGCTTAAGAAAAGTTCATGTTTCCCAGCCTCCTGTGTATTATAGAACTATATATAGAACTATTATAGAACTATAATACACAGTATTATAGAACTATAGAGGGCTTTTTTTTTCTTGTTGTTTTGGTATGTGAAAGACATGGAAGGACAATAGGAGGATTCTGCGTCGTCTAAGACTTGAGTGTGTCACTTAATCCCAATCAATTTTTGTATATCTATGCCTTCAGAGCTTGATGTTTACAAATATATACATATATATATATATATATATTTTTTTTTTTTTTTTGCAAAAAGTGGTCTGTATAAAAGTGGTCATATAAAATGCAGAAAGCTATGAGGAAGATGAGACATCTAATACATGGTATAAAATAATTAGAAGTATGTGTAATAGCCTTTCATTCATTAGCTCTAAGCTTATTATGTGCTACTTATAGATGTCTGTGTACTCCATTTATAGCATTCCCTTAAGAGTAAGCATCTAGCTAATAGGGAATAGATGCAACATAATGGATTTTATAGGTATAATTAACAGGAGCCATAGTATATTGTGATGTTACCAAATATTAGACTGCCTGATATGGGCCACAGTAATGGCTAATCTAAATGTAGCTGCTGTGAATCCTGTATGAGAGCAACCATTTTGTTTGCTCTCCTGGTTTTTGTTTTGTATTTTTTTATAAATATACTGCCAAATAATTAAGTCCAGAATGTAAGTTCTTAAAGGAGGAGAAAAAGCCAAGCCCCTTAGAAATTAACAACAAAAAGCATGCTACAACTGACCACGCATTTCTGTTTACTTTATAAAATCCAGAATATATAATATTAATAAGATTTTTTAAATAAGATGCTTGTATTGGTAGAAATCATAGTTTTTTTTTTCCTTTCACATGGTGGAAGCACTTCGATACTGTCGATATGTTTTTTAAAAACACTTCATGAATTTTTAGAATCTTAAATTGTGAGGAACTTAAACGAAATAATCCAGTTCACAGAGAAACCTTAAGCCTTACAAAGTGCAATTATTTCAAAAGGCAGTACTCCTTCAAATTCTACATTTTTGTGGAGAATTTGTATATTAATATTTCTTCTCAAAATATGCTGCATAGAATTTTAGTACAGTTCTCTTAAAACTTAACATTGCTTACAAGTTTTTCAACGTTGACTTATTTTGAAAGCAAATGCACTTCAGTTGACAGAACAAGTAAACAGGAATTCAATAATAACTTCAGTCTAGGAGGCAGAGTCTGAGAAAGAAGCCAGGACTTGAGACCTGCGCATAGTTGGCTTAATTTGTTAAGATAGATCTTCAAAATAAAAAATAACATCTTACTGCAAAATGATTTAGATAGGGTAAATTGAACTTGAAGTTTGAAGTTTCTGATCAAAGATATTTTGTTGCAGGGGCAAGAACTGTGAAGGAAGAAATGTTGCCTATTGGACAAGCAGTAACCCAGGAATGCTGTTGCTGGCAACATAATAGTGCATTCAAAGAGGAAATTTTAACATTGTATTTGTAAATTATGAATGTATTTTTACTGATGCAAAAGCCAATCTTGTTTTTTTCCAACTCTTTTTTGAGATTATTGCATTAATAAATTCACTTATTTTATTTTTCAGAAATAAATTTTATTTTTAAGTATCTTGAATTGTAGGAATTAATTTCAACTCTAGTGTCATGTAGTCCTCTCTTCCCCCCAGGATTTAAGATGATGTAGCTGTGTGGCACATCTAATAAGAGCAAAATGGTATTATCTTTTTATCAGTTTTTCTTTGGGAATAGTTTTTTTGTTGTTTGTTTGTGTGTCTTAAGATACCGTCCCTGCAACATTTTATGTTTATTAGAATGAACCTGTGTGTAAGAAATGTTAGGTCACTGATTTGGTCATTAATAGATGCTGGGAAAATCTGTGCGCTTCACTCCAACCAGAGTCTTTCAGGTGCAGAGTTGTGTGGGACAGGGCTATAAGGCTTGACTGTTCCCTTACAAACTAAAACAGTTTTCCAGAAGTATTACACAATTTAGTATAAATGGCTAGTGACCCCAGTCTTTAGTGCTTGTATTACATAAGTGCCAGAAACTGCAAATATGAGAGGCCTAAATCTGAGTCTGATTAATGCAAGCATTTATGTGCGTTAAGATACGAGATTGCTAACTGGATATTCTGAATTACCAACGACATTTGATGTAGAGCAGAGAATAACAGAAATTAATTTAAGGCTTAAGCCTGAATGAGGTGTTTAGTGTTTTAAGAGTGCATCTCAGACAGAAAACAAAACAAACCAAAACCAAACCAAAACAAATCATTGTATTTCAGGGACTCTGCAGGTGGAAGTGTGCTAACCTCCTTGGTAGTAGGTAGGTCAATTTAACTAGTTATTCAAACATGCTCCACAAGTCCAACTATTCTACTTCCAGTGGTTATACAAAATCAGGCACACACTTTGCAGCTGTTGATAAGTTCAAGATACACTCATATGAAGTATGTATTTCTGCAGTTTCAGATAATTTATTTTTCTCTTATAAAAATTATGATGTAGCAAAAAGTGCTGTTTACTTGGGGAAATTACCATATGACATATTTCAGAATAAGCTATCTGCTCCTCTACATAACACCAAATTACAATCAGTAAAATTAATTTGACGAGCATAATTGAAAAAATATTTTTCCTCTTGTTAAGCAGATCAGTTTGCCTTCAGGCTAGAAATGTGTGCATCAAACTTCAGACTGGTCTTTTAAAGCAAAGGAACATTAAAGCCCTTCAAACCAAGATTTCAAGGGGAAAATATAACCTATCTGTAATTACAGTTGCATCCCCACACTAGTGGAATTCCACTAACGTAGTATTGCATAAAGCCTTGCTTGCCCCTCCTACATGCACTAAATATAAATGTGCATGAGCAGCAATAGCAATTTGCCTAATGGCTGAATCAGCTAAACAGCATTTGCAGTAAAATTGTGTATCTAATTGTGTACACTAACTTCTTTGGTAAAGCCATGGGTCTAACCTGATAAATAAATAGAAACATAATTACAATTTCTCATTAACTTTAGATGTTGTATTGTTGAGAGGTTAATGATTTCATTTGTTATACTGTCAATATGAGTTTGTCTGGAAAGCTAACATCATTTCAGTGAAGCATTTCTGTAGAGTTCTACTCTTTTGAGTTACTAACTAGTTTACATCTACACAAATCCTGGAAAACTAAGTTAATTCTTCTGAATTGTATTGTATTAACATGGGGTTATTGTCTCTTGGAAAACTTTTTTCCTTCAGCTTGTCAGCTAGAGAACAGAAAATGTTCGAAGTCTTCAGTGATTGCAAGGATGTAGTGAAGTTGGTCAGTTTAGTGTCTTTCTGGTTGTTCTTCACTGCTAGCATGCTTGCTCACTTTCCCCCTTCTTGTATGGGAACAGTGCCAAAAATAAATGTGAGGAATCTGTCTAAATAACTTGTCTCCTTCCAAATCGACAGCATACTTTTCAGTTTACTTTTTCTATAAAGCCTGTTAGGACTTTTAGTTACAAACATGTCTATAATAATAAGATATCAGGGAATAAATTCAAGTGCTGCTCTATTTCAAAAGGATGTGGAGGGTGCTGTAAGCATTGAAATTCTGAACACCTTTAGCAAAGGGGTCGTATTTTGGGTATTTGTTGTAATTGTGGCAAAGCTTTTTCTTCCAGTAATGTGCAAAATGATTATTATACTATTTAAAAAATCTTATGTAGTTTACAAATGTTTCATTTCAAAGACTAATTAAGTTTTATATTAAATATTGTCCATATTGGTAATGCAGATTATAAGCTCATGCGGGAGCATCTGTTTCTGTTTTTGTCTAGATGGAGATTATCCCTTAATCATGCAGGGTCCAGGTGTGCATTTTGGGATTTGTTGACTCAGGAAAGCTGCAGATAGCATTAAAGGCCAGTGACAATTACACTGTAGCTGCATTTAGGTTGTTGTGCCTCTGGGCAAGAACTCTTGCTTGAACCGCACAGTGAAAAGGATGGCAAAAAGAAATGTCCTCATTACAGGTTGCTCCTCAGGAATTGGACTGGCCTTAGCTGTAAAAATGGCAAAAGATGAACAGAAAAGATTTAAAGGTAACAATATTTCTGTTATTTATCTTTATTTATATATATGTATACGTTCTTCAATGCAATATTCTCTTCCCTCCCTCCATGATTTATCAGAGCTGACTGTATTCAATCTGGTGATTGCTTTCCGTTTAACCCCCTTCTACCATTCAAGAAAATGTGATACAGTGCAAATAAACTGCTTCCTGTAAGCAGATGGTATTTCTGTACCTGTATCAAAGCTGAACACCTACTTGAACTTGTTACAAAATTAGTTTACAAAAAAACTCCACCATAAATAGTTGAAAATGCCTGCAGTGTGCTGCCTGGATATGCATTCAAACAGTTAACTTTGCTTCTAGCTACTAAATTTCTGTTGAATGAAACATGCATGCCAATTGGAAGACCAACAAAATTAATTTAGGAAAAGAATTCTTAAATTTACATTTTTTCCCTGAAGTGTGATTCATTATTCCAATGCTGTAATGCTGTTCACCCATAAAAGTGTGAGACTGGGATTTCTTTCTGTTGCAAAATGGGATATTTGCTATGACTGAAAATGGATGGCAAAGTAAATACAGCAATCTGTAGAAAATCAGTTTCTCAAGCTTATTCTTACGGTATTTTACTGCCAAGTGGCTGGATGCAGATTCATACTTTTTTTTTGGTAATTAGGGCATAGGAAGGGTAAAACTAATTTCTAATTTGAGAAATAGGTTGCACAAATGAACATTTTTTGCAATCTGAGGAACCAGCTGTCTTCCACTTTTTTTTTTTTTTTTTCCCCAGTAAAGTTATTGATATTTCTGCTAAACATATTGTGCTTGGATACTAAAGATGACTCAGCAGCCTGACTTGGCACCCATTGCTTTAAATTTTGCTGATAGTAGTGTCTTCTCATGCTGCATGTTTTACATTGCACATACTGGTTTAATTCTTCTTTTAGATTCCTTGAAGGTTTCAGAATGAGATTATGGAAAAATAGTGTCATGTGCATTGAAAATAAGTTCTTTCCACTTCAATTTTTAACTGGGTTTTATCAATGATATTTAAGATATGAATGAAACAATATTGTTTAATACTTCTCTGTTACATTACCACAGAAAAGGTTTCATTTTTGACTAACTATTGCTTCTGACATGTTGCAGTGTACGCCACAATGCGCAATCTGGCCAAGAAGGAGGCACTTGAGGAGGCTGCAGGTCGCAGGCTGGGCAAAACCCTGGAAATTAAACAACTGGATGTCTGTGATGAACAGTCCATTAAAACTTGTGTGAATAGTATCCCTGACAGAAGGATCGATGTCTTAGGCAAGTACAAGATGTGTATGCTGTGAACAGATAAGTTTTCTGTTTATCATCTATTCAAACACTCTGGAGAAGTTTAATTAGTGTATTTTTTAAATTATCAAATTAATAATAATTGCCTAATTTGTTCATTATTCTTAAGGCTTCATACAGATATGGATTAAATCTCACTGTGCTTCCCTGAAGCAGGGAAACTTGTTTCTCCTATTTACAAAGGAGAAACTTGATCACAGAAAAGATACGTCTTGGATAAGATGATGCAGTTTTTTAGTAAGTGTGAGAATAGAACTCTTGCCTAAATCTGTGTCTTCATGTACAACTTTCTGCCCTATAGATGAAGCACAGCTCTGTTCATAATAAAATTAATAGTGTTGTCTACTAAGAAAGCAATAGCACTTGGTAATTAGCAAGTAAAACAACAAATGCAAAGTAAGAGTACTTTAATTTTGTATTGAGAATTACAGTTGTACTGTGCAAATCATTTAGCAAGAAGTGTTCTTGTACTATTTTGCTAAAAATAAATAGTAATAGAAGAAAGATGCTTATGTTCTCAGCAATGAAATCTCTAAGAGAAAATCAAGGACCTGTCTTCATTTTGAGAACTCATTAAAGAACTATTTAACAAAATTTTTCTGCAGACTGTATTATGCTCCGATTTGACACAGTAGTGTCAAAAAAATTATGCTCCGATTTGACAGTAGTGTCAAATCGGAGCATAATACAGTCTGCAGCATGCCAGTTTTATCAGTCATTCCCCACTTATAAACACCTAAGAGACGCATGCACACACACACACACAAAAACACAAACAAGTTTCTTTTTAAAGACGTGAATTTTTAAAGCAAACAAAAACCTAAAAGGCATACTAAAATATGGCCTAGTCTAGCACCTTTTGGAATAGATTGAAGTCTTGTATTCATTGATATGGGCATTGACTATAGGCTCTAATTTATGCTACTGAATGATGAACAAATAATGATGATTCTTGACACATTTTCCTGTAATCCTTTTCTAATTTAAAGAAAAAGGACTAATCAGAAATAAATTGGTTAAAATGCAAAATATCAGATAATTTGATTTTTTAATTGGATTAAAACCATAATTAAGCAAAAAATAAAAATAGAGAAGTGTATTTGCAGAGCTTGACTAACACAATAATATCTTTTGTGCTTTAATCCTTTCTCTAAGCATCATTTAATCCCTAATCCTTATCTTACATCTAAACGCTTTCCAGTAAAGATAACCTAATGTTTAGGGATGTTATTGGTCACTGTCATCTTCTGTTTTGTGCAGTTAGCAATGCTGGAATGGGGCTTATTGGACCAATTGAATGTCAGACCATTGATGAAATGAAAACGGTGATGGATACCAACTTCTTTGGACTGGTTCGACTCCTGAAGGAGATTTTGCCTGACATGAAGAGGAGAAAGAGCGGGCATATAGTTATAATAAGCAGTGTTATGGGAATACAAGGCAAAGTGTTTTTTTGTTTGTTTGTTTGTTTGTTTTTCTTTTTTAATCCAGAAGTTCAGTATGTACAATCTAGAACACACATCTTTTTTTTTTTTTTTTTTTTTTTCTCCCTAAAAAAAGTGCAGGAGTTAGCATATCTATTTATTGAGCTCTGTAATACTAAAACTCCAAGAAGCATAGCATAGATCTGGTGTTTTATGTATCCCAGTAGTATGCACAACTACTCTCAAGACATCTTAACAACAAAAGCTGTGGAGTGAATTCTTTTTTCATGGGAGTAAAGCTATCAGTTTTAAGTCAAATTCTATTTTTTATTTTATTATTATTATTTTAATTACTGGAGATTACCTGCAAAACAAGATTTAGTAATATTACTTTTCACTTTCCTGTTGGAAAGGATTCTGGGGACAGGCAAGTACACTTGCTATGCTGTGCTAATGGAACAAACTCCAGTCATGTCCTGGACAACTGCACCATCTTTTGGTGAAGTTTCCCTTCATAAAGTTTCACAGAGCTAATTCTAGCAAGAAAAATGATGTTTCTACCATTCCCTCTGGTCTGACTGTATTTGTTTCAATTACTAAGGCACTGGCATTGATCTTTACCTGGATTATTCTGGTGAGCAAGTGTCCTAAAGCAAACTGCAAGTGTGGTTATCAGATTGCCGTACTACTTTTTCCAAGTCATAGAATGGCTCAGATTGGAAGGGACCTTAAAGATCATTTAAGAGACACCTCCCTCTAGATCAGGTTGCTCAGGGCCCTATCCAACCCGGTCTTGCACACCTCCAGAGATGGAGCATCTGCAGCTTCTCTGGGCAACTTGTTCCAGGGCCTCACCACCCTCCCAGTGAAGAATTTCCTCCTGACCTCTAATCTCCCCTTTTTTATTTTAAAACCATTCCCCCTTGTCCTGTCATTATCTGACTGAGCAAAAAGTTGCTTTTCATCTTTTTTATAAGCTCCCTTTAAGCATTGAAAAGCTGCAGTAAGGTCACCCTGGAGCTTTCTCTTCTCCAGGCTGAACATCTCCAGCTCTCAGCCTGTCCCCATAAGAGAGGTGCTCCATTCCCCAGATCAACGTCATTGCCCTAAGCCCCTCAGATGCAAGATGGATCTCTTGCATAATCAAATCTGGTCAGTTTCTGTGTTTATCTCCAGTCTATTTGGAGTCTTGTTGATAAATAGTGCAGGTGGCATTGTATGTATATACACTTACCAGTAGACTATAGAATATTAAATAGCAGCCAGAGAGATCACAGTATCAGCTAGAAAGGGGACAACCGTTAAGTTAGTCAAGTATGCTTTAGCATAAGGAATTTTGAGAACATATGCAAAAACAAACAAACCAGCAGTATTTAATACTACTTAACTACTCAGAATATTAAACTACTATTACTAATGAACTGTCTCATTAAGAAAATCCTTGTGGATATTGGTCTAATGTATTTTCCCAGAATTTCTGTAGTCTTGCTAGGAAAACAAGTGTTAAAACTAAACTGCTTGCATGTTGAATATGATCGCATTCTCAGGCTGTTTTATTTGTACCATCAGGTATCTTATTTAATGATGTTTATGCTGCATCAAAGTTTGCGGTGGAAGGATTTTGCGAAAGTTTAGCTATACAAGCACTGAAGTTCAAACTGCAGTAAGTATCGAACCACAGGTGTAAATTACACTTTAGACAGTTGTAAATATATTCAGAGTTACTGCACAAATGTTTAAAGCTTGCTGCTGTCTAGGAGAAACAGATTGAGAAACCCACGGAAACCATACATCACAAAAGGCGTCAAAGTGTCCACATTCTTCACACTACATAAACAAATAATTTTGATACAAAAATAAACATTCTTATAGACAGTTAGAGGTTTTTAGGTTTGGATAAAATATACTCTATATAATACTTCTGAAAACAGATTCTTGCATATAATATCATAGAAATAAAATAATACCAACCTGTAATGTTTTCCTTTTAAAAGGATAACAGTCCTTTCTAGAGGTCAAGGGCTCAAAGACAGCATGTAGAAATTCATCAGAAAGGATCACAGGATGAGATTCCTATAAGGACAGGAGGTGGGAGGAAAGCAACAAGAATGCAGTACTATTTTTCGGTGTTTAAAACAGTATTTGAGAGAACAGTCCTGTTTGTTGTCTATGGGACTTCAGTGATTTGTCAAATGTATTCACTTTGGTATAATTCTCCCACCGTTCTTTGTGTGAAGTCCAACAATGTTTAAACATCCCTTGCATCTCTGTATGCTTGAGTGTTTAGCTCCTGTACAGTGGGAGAAGAGACAGCTGCTGTCATGGGATTACATGACTTTGATTTTGTATAAATCAAACTTTGATTTTGTATAAATCTCTGAAAAGCCTGGAGAGATTTAAAATGAGTATTGTAATAATAAAAAGCAAAAACAGAAAAAAAAAGAAGGTTTAAAAAATGTACTGTGCAGAATGTAGTACAGGAAAAGTTCAAGGTCCAGTGTGAAGAGTGATGCAGGAGAAAAGGCTTTTATTCCAGCAGCAGTTGGAATTCTGCTGTCAAGGTCAATAGTAGATTTAGTTCTAAAGAAGAGACTGCCCAAAATTCAACCCTATGAAGAGGTCCTATCCCAAGGAGTGTCTTCTTAGAAGTTGTGACTGGGGATAATTACTGTCTGAGAGTAGAACCAGAAAAGATCTGACCAGTATCAAAATCAATTTTTCCATATTTGGCAGCAGCCAAATTGGTCTATCAACAGCAAAATTCTCAGTATTTTGTTTTATATGGTATTGTAGGGGAATCTTGAGTTATGTGATATTGACAGCTTGACAAATAAAATCCATGTTTTTGCAACTTTAATCTACTTCTAATATTATCATGAGAAAGCTGTAGCAAATCTATGTAGGATTTTGTCCATATATATATGTGTATATATATATATATATATATATATATATATATATATTAACTTTATGATCCTGAAGTTATTTTTTCTTTGTACTTCTGAAATTCTTGTGGATAAATAATTTTCAGATTCTACATCTGTGAGACGGCAGGTAGCAACTGTATGCACTTCCATATGAACTAAGTTGCTGTGCTTCCCTGAAATTTAAGCTCTACAGACTTTCTGATCTATGGGGATGGGTAGGAGTTTCAATAATTCAGTATTCATTGAATAAATTCAACATGTTATTGATCACCTTGTCAAAATATAATGTTAACATTGCTTGCTAGCATGTAATCAAGACTGCAATTCTTTAATGTACTTTTTAAAGAAGTATAGAGAGGTGTGTTTCCCATGAGGAGAGTAGTCCGTAATCAGTATATCTTGGCTTTTGAATAGGTTAAGTCTGATTGAACCAGGCCCAGTGATTACAGAGTTTGAAAGAAAAGTGTTTGAAGATGGAATGAAAATGGATCTTTCAGCTGCAGATGAGGAAACAGCTGAGATGTTTACTAATATTTACCTTAAAAATTACAAACAAATTTTCCAGAGCCTGGGACAAAGTGCTGAGGATGTTGCAGAGGTAACCTACCAACAAATCTCTTCTCTTGTATATTTTTAATTTAAGAATGCACCAGTTGGTTGGTGATGTGTTTTTTTGTTTGTTTTTGTTTGTTTGTTTTGTAGAAGTGTTAAGATTTAAGTACATGGAATTTATGTAATTTAAAATAATTTTAAAAACCTTGAGAGAATTTCAAGTCTTAAACAAAACCAGTAAGAACATTAAAAGAATGTTCATTTTGCAATTTAAGACTATTGTGAACTGTAACTTACACGCGACTGGGGACACGGACCAGTGAAGTCTGTGCATCCCGCAGTGCTACCTTCTGTCTCTGCAGGGTTCCTACCTTTGGGAACCTTTGTTTAAAGCCTCTCTATCTCACTAATACTCCCTTCACTAATGCAAGGCTAATATGAAGTTCATTTGGCTACCGTACAACACCAAGGCATAATAGAAAATACCTGGACATAGTTCCTGGTGTTTAGGGCTGTCTGCAGGAAGGGGACAACAATTTCAGGTGCTGGCTACTACTGAGGAGCTTCAAGTGTCAGCTGAAGCTTCCCTATCTTGCTGCAAAGCGCACTGTTCTGATCCTTTTCCAGTCAACAGTAAGAGAAAGTATCCACCTATTGTGGGCCTACAGGGATAACTTTGGAGGACTATGCAGGATACTTAAGTGTAAAGGGCTATCATCATGCTGTAGATGAACAGAATTAGGACCATGAATAAGTACTTCTGGCTTTAACATTATTTTAAGAAAAAAAATGTAATGACATTTTCATAAAACTACATGCAGCATTTTACACAGTTCTAAAACTTGATTCTTCCACTTTTCCTCTCCTTAGTTGAAAACTAAATGTTTAATTTACTATTTTGGTAAGGGTTCTTTAAAGATCTCATTTTTCTTTCTTGACAGCACACAGTAAAGATAATTCTTGCAGAAAACCCACCTTTTCGCCATCAGACCAACACCTTGTACACGCCGATGACAACTCTCAAATACGCAGATCCAAATGGAGATCTACCCATTGATATATTCTACAAAATGGTTTTTCATCATGACAAAATCTTCAGTGCAAGTCTTAACTTTATCAAATTGCTAAGGTGGAGAAGCAGAAAGAGCTTTGACCTAGGAAAACCCTCACAATAAGCACGAGATTGTGTAAACTGGAACATTGGTTGCAGTTACTATTTTGTTAAATGGCTTATGATTTGATGTAAGCTCCAAGATATTGACCTCAATGCATGTATCTTCAACTTTAGTTTGCCAGACCTTAAAATTAAAATCCTCTTAACTCTAGGTTTAGTCTGCTTTATAGAGATGTGTTTTCATGGAAACAAGCACTGACTGGTTCTTAAGTATTTAATATACGGAATATAAAATATATATACAAAAAATAACCCGTGCTTCTTCACTGCTGACACTGTGCTGTGTGTGTGTCACTGCCTGCCTGTTCCCGCAGCCGCAGCCCCGCGCTCGTTCCGGGCCCCTCCCCGGCGCCCCCCTGTCCGCGTCACGTGCCGCTCCCCTCAGCCCCCGGCCCGGCCCGGCCGCCCCACGTGACCCCGCCCCCCGCGGCGCCGCCGCTTCCGGCGCTGGGCGGGAAGGCCGGGAGGAGGCGGGAGGCGGAAGCGCGCCTCGGCTTCCGGCGGAAGCGCCGCCCCGCGCAGCCCGCAGTCAGAGCGTTTCCGCCTCGCGGCCGCCCTCAGCACCGGCCCGGCCGCCGCCGCCGGGGAGCGCAGCCGGGGGCGCGCAGCGCAGCGCAGCTCGGCCCGGCCCGGCCCGGCCCTGCCCAGCGGAGCGGGGCCCGCGTGGTGTTGCGGCCGCCCGCCCGCCGGCCGCTCCTGAGGCGGCGCCGCCGGCCCCCGAAGGATGTGGCGGAGGCGGCCGGGGCAGGCGCCGCGGCCGGAGGAGCGCTGAGCCCCGAGCCCCGCCGCGCCTCCCGGCCCGCCGCGCGCCGCTCGCCCAGCGCCGCCCCCGGCCCTTCCCCGCCCGCCGCCCCTCGCCGGGTCCCCCCGCGCTGGAGGCGAGGGGGAGCCCCTGAGCGCGGCAGCCAGCATGGCCTCCTCGTCGGGGAACGACGACGACCTGACCATCCCCCGGGCTGCCATCAACAAGATGATCAAGGAGACGCTGCCCAACGTCCGCGTGGCGAACGACGCCCGGGAGCTGGTGGTAAACTGCTGCACGGAGTTCATCCACCTCATCTCCTCCGAGGCCAACGAGATCTGCAACAAGTCCGAGAAGAAGACCATATCCCCTGAGCACGTCATACAAGGTGAGCCCCGGCGGCAGCCGGGCTTCGGGGCACTGCTGGCCCCGCGCAGCTCTCTCCTCTGTGGCTTCTTGCATTGCGAGGGAAGGCTGGCTGTGTGGCTAGTGAGTGGTGAGCGTGCTTGGCATCAGCCCTTGTTTAGTGATTCAGAGGAGTCCGCGATTCTTTGGGAGAAGTCACTGCCTTCATAAACCTTTTTTGTAGCTGTGAAATAAGGTCTGCGTTTTGGAATGGCTGTGCAGGTTTATTTTACAGCAAGACCTGCACTTACTGAATGTTATTGGAGACTGACAAAAGAGACGCGATTGGATATGTGGGGTCCGGTTTCTAACCCAGAGCATTCCTGTCTGGACCTTACAAAGAGTAAAATATTTCCCCAGGGTTACCCACCAAGTATGATCATTTAATATTAATAATTCATATCTGATGGAGAGAGCACTTAAACGAGACATATTTCCTTGCATCTTTTTCAGCTGTTGCCTTCTATTTCCCATTGTTGAATTAAAATTTCCTCTTTGTGTCTTGTTTACTTTTTCTTTAATTTCTGCCCTAGTTAGGGAGTTTTCTTCCCTCATGGGTAAGTCTGCAGCAGGCATCTTTTGTCAGAAACCATTTGCTTTGTTTTTTAAGCGAAGATGGTTGAAGCCAGGGACTGCTGCAAACAAACTTGTAGCAATAATAGTGAAAGGGTGCTTCATTTCACTGCCTGGCTGAGCTGTAATCTGTAGTACTTGCAGTAGAGCTATTTCCAGGACTGTGAAGGTATCACGTCAGTCAAAAAAAAAAAAAGTTTCATTTTGTAATGGGCTGCTAGATTCCCTGTTTTAAAACAATCAGACAAAACAAAATTTGATTCCTATCAGCTTGCTTACCAGAAGTGTTTCAAGTACTTGACAAGGCTATGAACAGCAAAGAAGATATGGTGAGCTTTAATGTTAAATAAAAAGGATGTATACCTGGAAGCTTAGCAAAGCAGCTCTGTTACAGAAGCTCAGAGAGTGAAGAGTCAAGCAGGTGCCTGCACATGGAAATGTTCTTTGGGTGTGATGCTTCTCAATGCAGGGATAGTTTTTTCAAGTGATCCTTGAAAGTTTGGAGCTCAGTTCTTAACATGTGGGTAGAGGTAGTCTTTAAGGTTGAGCACAATAAAGAATTCCGGTATGGCAGTATTTTATGCTCAGTAAATGTGGTTCTTAGAAAACCTATTGCTGTCAGAGGATTATTGTTTTTTATTTATTTTGAAGACAAACTGAAATCAGAATGTCTATGTGTGTATCATCGGCAGGTGGTTTCCAACTGAGGATCTTGGTGAGCTTGTGTCTTTGTGTTATCTGACTTAGTAAAAGTTTGTTTCAGACTAGGTTTCTCCATTTTATTGAGATACTGCTGAAGAAAATTTCTTCCAGTACCTTCTTGTAGTGCTTCTGGAGGTGGGAGTTATTGTACCTGGACTTACTGCAGTCCTCACCTGTGGGGAGGTGTGTGTGCTGCTAGCTTGTGCCAGGTGCTGGTCAGTTAGCAGCTGGTACTTCTGTGAAGTATGAGGGTCTGGATTGTTAGGTGTGGAAACAGCAGAGATCTGTATATAGGGACAGCATTTCAGCACTTCTATTGATCTTCGTACATGCTAGGCACTTGCTCTTTTGACTGTCTTTTAGTGAAGCTTCATGACAGTGATGCTAACAAAGCCAGTAATTGAAATATGTTTGTGGTCATCAGGATGCCTCTGTCCTCTTAACTGTGTGAGCCAATTCCATTACAGGTGAAGTGAGGCTAATGGGTATCACATCGCAGCTAACTGGCTGCTGCCAAAAGGAGTCTCTTTGCACCCTCCCTGGAGCTGACTCCAGCAACCTCTGATCCGACTGCCCCTGTGGCTTTTGGAGGGGCTGGAGGCGGGACGGGAACCACGTTCTGTTGGGTGAGATCATGGATCTGGCTGTTCTGCAAACAAGCCGTTGCCGGGTGGTGAGCAGGAAGGGTATTTCACTGGGCAGGAGGAAGGGGAAAGAGACCCCTTTGCAGCTGGTGACACCCTGCTGCTGGGCAGTGTTAGAGGTAGTGTGAAACTGCAGCTCCGTTGCTGTAATTACGGGTTTGGCAGCAGTGGTACTTAAACCACCCCTTCCTTTGCACTAGTGAAAGTGGCTGTGTGGCCACTGGCTGGGCTAGGGCTCTTCCCCCTGCCAGCAGCTTCTGATTCAGATGGAGGAAGTCCATGCCATGTTCCATTGTGTGGTAGTGCAAACACAGGGCTGGCACAGTGCCTACGAGCAGCACAGAGAAAGGAAAGCAGAGGCTCCTTGCATCCCTTGGGAGGTCTGACTCTGTAGATGGACTCAGGCTATGCCGGGCACTCGCTCCTAGTGATAAAATGCGCAGCTGCTTCCCTGCGGAGTGCCCAGAGGCATCAAGGCTGTGAGGCTGAAGCAGAGATGGTCTTTGTGCCTCTTGCTGAAACTCACCGTTGGGGACTTCCACCCGGCACAGAAAACAGCCGCACTTGGTAGTTCAGAGAGTTATGATGAGGCAGATTTCTTTGTGAGAAACTGAAATTCCATTGAGTTCTGAAAATAATGTGTTAGATCACTATTTTTATGGAGCTGATTACTTTGATTATTTTGTCTACGAGGCGCTGCGTTGCAGGAAGGTAGGCTCTTCTCTTCATGGACCATCAGGCTATTGACACCGTTCACTTCAGCATTTAATGAAAAAATCTGTTTTGGTTTGGAATTTCACATTGGAAGCTATTTTTCTTTTGAAAGGGGCATAAAGAGTAAGAATCTCAGGTATGAGTGACCTGATTGTATTGAAAACAAATGTAGAACTAATTATGCTTAACTCATTAATCAGATCTGCACATTCCTGCAATCTCTAAGAGTGGGAGGAAGCTGGAGAGTTGACGGTTGTGATTTGGTGTTTGTAAATGTTTCCTTCCCCTTCCCCCTTAAAGATGCTGCTTTAAATTTGGTGTGATGATTCTAACATCTGCAAGATACCAAATTTTCAGCAATCTGGCTAGACAGTCTTTAAGACTCTAGAAATAGAAAGATTCTAAATTTTGGTGGAATGGTAGCTTGGATAAAGTAGTAACTTATCGCATGTACAAGTACCACCTTGGTATAAGGCAGTGCTTGTTCGTGCCATGCATGTACTCCATAAAGCCATGATGTTTCAACAAGACAGGGATTTCTGAAGTTGTTTTGCTTCCGTTGGAGTTTTGAGGCAGCAGACCTCTGTTCTCTAATGTTTCTTCATATCTTGACCATGTTGAACGATTGTACAATTTTATCATGGTTATATCACGTTTTCTTCTGGATCTTTTTCTTGTGTGTGATATTCAATGTGTAACTAAGTTCTCTCTGTTAGTTTTGCTGCTGTAAGTTCCATGTAAAGCTTCTATTAAAACCTGCATCTTGCTGGTCACTTCAGGTTGGGCTGTTGCTCATACTCTGCAGCAGACTGCCAAGCCTGATCACTGTGGATGATCTTTTCGTAAACATTTACGTATTTGCTGTGATAGTTAATCTTGGTGGAGTTAGACTTGTAGGGTTCTTATACTAAAAAGAAAAATCATGATGAGTCTGAATGGTTTAACGTATATGCTATTTATGTATTAGAATTGGGTTCTTTGATATTTATGGGCTGCTTAGTTAACCAGTTCTGCACAACGAAACACATTTCCCTCCCCTCTGCTGAGGCTGTATTAAATAGTTTCTAGAAGGCTTTTGGTGATTCTCACAAACTGTGGACTAACTTTAAAAAGTGTTTCCAGCATCTGTGTGGGCTGAGGCTGACCTGGCATACTGCCTAATGTAATTTAATTATCTCTAAATCAGTTCATCTTTTAATTTTATTTTTCTTAAGAAATATACATATTATGTAAACTCATTTGCCAAATGCTTGCCAAGTCTCTTAAAAGAATGGTAGTTCTGCATGACCAGACAGCTGCGGTGCTGCCTGGCTGCAGACAACGTGCTAACCGCCTCTTCGGGCCCAGGTCGGAAGCCAGGAGCTTACCGAA